AAATAGGGCGGGGTGGGGGGAGTAAGCCAACAGTGAGTGGGCTCGCGCATTCCAGTAGCTGTGCCAGACCAAACCCGGCACGGTATGGTGGTTACCAACTTGTGGTTTGAGTGATTGCTGAGTGCCGGCACTAGCCTAGTACTACATGTAGTTGTAAATTTTACTTCTCAAGCACCCCCTCCCCCGGTCTCTCTCTCTCTCTCTCTCTCTCTCTCTCTCTCTCTCTCTCTCTCTCTCTCTCTCTCTCTCTCTCTCTCTCTCTCTCTCTCACACACTCTCCAATTTACAAGAACTCTATAGTGAATCGGAAAGGCGGCGGGGCGGGGGCATGGATGCCCTACCCCCGTCCTGTCCTGGCCAACTATGTTTTCTGCTTGTCGCCTTCCTTTTTCTCAAACAAACACTATACATACGTATGTTCATTCCTCGCCTACGTTTATAAAGTACAAATTCGAAACAACCCTCTCACCCCCCCCCCAAAAAAAAAATAAAAAATGTTTAGGCATACACGTAGTATTCTCGCCACTCTGACGCAGGCGGTAACAGTGACATACGAGATTGATGGAAGCTTCAAAACGGAGTAAAGCAGACATTTCTATCTTTAGTGCTAGAGCATTTTTCGTGGGGCTGGCGGTTTCTAGGAGAGTAAATCATGCCACACTCCAATTGGAGAGTATGTTAACAAATTTAACACATAATATATCGACAGTTGACATCAGCCCGACGCAGGTGGGTGGAAGGGGGCTGGTTTGATCCTGCAAGTCAGGGCCAACCCAGACAGACTGGGATACATCCCAGCAGACAAAAGAAGGAAATTGACAACATATCCAATATTTACGCGCCCCCCCCTCCCCCCTCTTTAAAAAAATTTACCGCAACAAGGTTCGGACTCACTTCCTTCGCGCACAAAGTGCATAGCCTGGCACCATTATTATTGTAAACTGGTACGCCCCACCTTCAAAGTGACCCAGTTTAAGTAACAGGCGGACACAGAATGGGGGAGACGGATGATAAGGCACAAGCGAGACACTCAGAACCTAGGCCAATAAGAACGTACAGGGCACAAGACGTGCGGGGCTGAGAAAATAGAAACAATATGACACCGGCGGGGATAGTACCAGATAAAGTGGAAATAAACCAAGTCTACTGGAGACGAGCACTTATCTTCCGGCGAGAGAGAGAGAGGAAAGAGAGAGAGAGAGAGAGAGAGGGGG